AAGTCCCTTCAGAAAATATCTTCCATTGTCCAACCCATGATCTGACAACTTGTATCTTAAGCTTTCTTGGCTTCTGTGATTCCAAAAACGTCGACTGCTGACATTTTTCTTTTGACCAGTGTCTCTTAAGTTTAGTTGTGCTGTCTCCAAAGGAAGGTGACGTGTCCTGTAGAAATCCTGTGTAGATTATGTTTTTCTTTCTGGATTTCCCTGGGTACCTTTGAAAGACGCCTCCTCATTGTTATCTGAGGTGGCTTCCTTGTGCACCACTTTCAGGCTTCCCTTCCGCCCAGGAGCACGCTTGTCACAGTTCCCAAGGGCCTCTTCCCACCGGATTTCCCCGGGTACCTTTGAAAGACGCCTCTTCGTTGTTATTTGTATTACGGTAGTAATAGTTCTATCACTTTGTTCAGGAATTCGATTTGTTTAAGATGCTGGTTTTTACCAGTAATATACTTCTAACTCTGAGAGATAGATAGATGATAGATAGATAGATAGATAGATAGATAGATAGATAGATAGATCTCACAAATAAACACCTTTCTGGTATTCTCTATTTTTCCCAAGATTCATCTGACATCAGCCATTGATATCCCTATTGCCATAGTCTCTTCTGAATTCAGCTTGAATATCTGTCAGTTCTCTGTTAGGTACCCCTTCCAGATATTTTTTCTGATTTTCTATCAGATTTTACTTGAATGTGGTATTAATTTACTGGTGGCACTCTTCTCTCTAACATACTATGTCCTGGCCAATCCCTACAAAACCATAACAGCATAAAAATAAACACTATTTTCCAAAATAAGATATATATGTTTACCTCATTGTTGGTATAATGTAGATCCGTATATTGCCCAAAGGCAATTTTAGCTTTGGACGTCAGATCTTCCAATTTAACTGGTCTGGGGAACTGAAGAATTCTATACACGGAAAATTTTAAAATATTTTATTTTCTTAGGCACAGTCTAATAACAAATTATATAAGTAAAAACAGCATACATATTCACTCTATGAAAATACTATAAATTTTGGTTAAGTGCACAGATAGAGTATAAGAATTCTGAAGTTGGTTCTCTCTTGGTGAAAATGCAGGAAGAAGGTAAATATTTTCTGTAATTTTATATTAGTATTGATACCATGAATATTAAAGACCAATGTGAACTATCCACTGAGAAAGCAAATTAAATTAGCCATCACATATCACACAGTAGGGTGCAATAAAAGTGATTGAAAGAATCAAGTCATTCTTTGGAGATTGAAATTTTGATCTTGTATCTTATAATAAGAGGAAAAAACCATTTGATCACATTTATTATGTAAGCATACCTCCAAAACAAACACTTAGAAATTATTACGTTTTTAAAAAGAAGTTAAAATCCTAGTATTTTTTTCCTATAACCTAAAGGGTTGACCTAGAGAGGACTGACCTATCACACGGGGCTGTAAACTCCCACAAAAAGAGGGGCCAGGTCTGTTTTCTCACATCATCTCCTCAGGGGCAACAAAGTCCATGATACAAAATCTGTACTGAATAAACAATGTTGAATGAATTTTTTAAATGTGGAAAACTGTGTATAAAAAGGTCTTAAGGGGGAAAAAAGTAGATTGGAGAAGAATTATAATAGTATATAGTAGGTATATCTCATAGTCATCGTCTCCATGTTTCTAAATTCTCAGTTATATAGTTTGTGAGTCTTTTTAATGTCTTCAGGTAGCCTAGTGGGGTAAGCAGCTGTGTTTCCATCCCAAAGGCATGCAGTTCAAATCAATCAGCTGCTCCATAGGAGAAATATGGCAAATATTCTCTGAGTGATTTACAGACTCTGAAAACACTAGAGGGTCAGCAATGAGTTGTTTTGTGGCTTTTAAAAAATTTTTTAAAAGGACAGATCTTTCAATTAACTAAATTTAGGAAGAGACAAATATTAGAAATGAAATCTCACCATCTCAAACTACCATTGTGTTTCTTAGCAACTTTTTAATCAACCACTACTACAAGAGAAAAGGTTAGAAGTATACCACTGCTAAACCAGTCTTGGGTTATTTCCAGGCTGGGAAGATGAGCAGAATGGCCAGATTCTCCTAAGGTGTATTTTCTGATTTGGGGTTGAAACTAGGGTGTGGCTTTTGTTCACAACAGGGAGTGAGCTGATTGGAGTTGGCCTTGTATTTAAATAGGCTTTTGGCTGTTAGTCTGGGGCTAATTCCAGGCTGGGAAGATGAGTGCAATTACCAGATTCTGCAAAGATATGATTTCTGGTTTGCAGTTGAGGCTAGGGTGTAGCTTTTGTTCACAACTGGGCATGAGCTGAGTGGATCTGGCCTCATATTTAAAAAGGTTTTTGGGCCCTCAGGTCTGTGGCCCTCTGGCCTGCTTTTTGTGAATCTCCTGAATAAAATAGGCTTGGAAGCAGTTGTGGCATCCACTTCCACTTGTTAATTGCCTTAGAGCATGACTCAGAGTGACCCATATGACCCTCTACAACTATTAACATTTATCAAAGTTCATAGAGTTTCTGGAGGAATGTTACTTAGGAAGTGGATGCCACTCCTGCTTCCAAGTCACTTGTGATGTATAGTGACCTATGTATTATCTTTATAAATAGGTAACTGAAAAACTTCCTAATACATGGGCAATAAAATAGTATTCTTACTGACCTATGACATTTGATCAGTTGCATCTATTTTATAAACTATAAAACTCAAGTTACTTGCCAAGCCTACCCAGTGTCATGTGCCCAAATAATGTTTGTGAAGGGAAATGCACATGCCAATACTCTACCCATACACATCAGTAATGCTTTAAGATGAATTAATTTAGATTTCAATGTTACCCACAATTTCTTAAATAGATCTGAAAAGAATCTTATCTTCAACTTTACACAATCCAGGGCTTGGTTAATAAAGTATGGCTTGAAAAGTATTATAAACTAAAACATTAATTACTTCTAATGTTTAGGTGATGCTAAATCTAAGTACTTATTACAAATTAGCAAGAACTATTCTATTCTAGGTGTGTACGCTTAACTTTCATTAAAAAAATTATAGAATTTTTAATGACTTAACTAGGTAACATGTTGGATTAATGCAATAAACTGTTTTCTTACTTACCGTTTTTCTCCTCTATGTTCAAATTTTACTCGAACATCATTCTGCAATGAAATTTCAAGTCATAAGAATAAAATTATTAATAAATCAGATAAAAATTGCTAGAATTTCTAACTAATTGTTTTATTGGTTATTAATTTAGACAGAATAAAGAGAAGGAGATCTCCTTCTTTTGTGCTAACTTCAATCAACTAGTAAAAATAAACACACTGCCACAGAGTCAATTCTAACTCACAGTGATGCTCCGGGGGAGGGGGGATTATTAGGCTATAAAGTATATAGGAAGAGAGTGTTCATCTCCACTATTCGCCCCTGGTGGAGTTGAACTATAAAAGATGCACAAAGCCTTTGTATTAGCAGCACAATTCCTTACCTACTATGCCATCAAAGCTCCCTAAACAATAGTGCTTGCCAAAGAGCAAGCTGAGATTATGTTGGTAAATATAAGTATGGGGTAGATATGCTATCTTTCTACTTTTCAAGATGGACATATTCATCTAAGTTCATTTATAAGAATCAAAATGATTCTTACTTCTTTTAAAAGAGTAAGAATCATTCTGATGCAGTCGCTAGTAGATTTGAATTCTCTTTCTTGCCCATCTTATATTTACCTACATAATGGTAACATAATATGATTATTTGCTCTAAAAAAGGTTAGAGGCATAGTTCTCCCTGACCTCAAAACCCTCTACACAGCGGTGGTAACCAAAACAGCATGGTACAGGTACAATGAAAAGCACATAGAGTAATGGAACAGAATTGAGATCCCAGAAACAGACCCAGCTATCTATGGACAACTGAAAAGTCGACAAGGATATCAAAGCTATCAAATGGGGAAATGAGAACCTCTTCAATAAATGGTGCTGGCAAAACTGGACTGCTACTTGCAGAAAGCTGAAACAGGAGCCACATCTCACACACCATACACAAAAATCAACTCAAGGTGGATCAGAAACCTAGGAGTAAAGCCCAAAATCTTGTTATCATGAGAGACAAACTGGGATCAAGTTTAGAAGTGCTAGTCCAAGGTATAAAGAGACTGCCAGAAATGCACAATCTAAAGAGGATAAAATTGATGCATGGGCCTTCTAAAGATTAAATCCCTGTGCACATCAAAAACTTTTTCCAACAGGGTGAAAAAACCTGCAGACTGGGAACAAATGTTTTGGTAATACCATCTCAGAAAAGAGTATTATAACAAAAGTTTACAGAATACTCCTGGGCCTCCACAAGACTGATAACCCAGTTACAAAATAATAGCTCTTATGAGCAGATATCATAGTATATAAAAATAATATTTCTCTAAAAAACTGTTATTTCATAAATGCAAATTTAGGAGAATATAAGCAACTTTAAAATATTTCATTAAACATAAAAGCAAAATATTTTAACAAACTTTCTACAACACCAACATATTAAAAAAAAAAATAACTCATGAAGCAATGATTTACATTTCATCAAAGGACAATTTAAAGAAATACCTGTTTTGGTGATAAAGATTTTGTTTTTCTGGCTTCCTGTAAGGATACTGCTGGTCGACTGGCCTTATGAAGGACAGCCAGATCTTGCATGATTGAGTTCAAAGCTTGCTGATCATCTAAGCATTTTTAAAATAGCACACAGAATAGTAATTTAAATAAATTCATCACACACTCAAATACAAAATTTACCACAGAGTGTAATGCAAAAGTCCACGCAGAACATTTTTAGATGAAAAGACTTTAATGATTTTGATGAGAAATTATTATTTCATAATTGCGGGGAAATAAGATTTAAAACACACTAAAATGCTAGCTCCAGACTAACAGTCTACACACGAAACATTTACAGACAAAATACAGTAATTCTGATTCTTCTAACGATGTAATGACCCAGAATAAGGGTAAAAATAGATTCAGTGATAGCAAATTTTATCCAATAACTCCTCAAATAAAAATCAACAAGCCTCTAAAATCTTAATTAAAACAATTAAGTAAAGGGGAAGTAAATTTCTGTTAATACCATGATGAAGATTCATTTCAGAGAAGATTCATTTACCATCACAATTTAATAAATTCAGGGGAGGGGAAATGAAAAGACTTTATTTATGAATATTCAAAAGTGTGTCCTCAAACCTTCACCACATGGTTCAATAACACTCTAAACATAATAAAAGATTGTATGATCTAATCCAGTAACAATTATAAAAGGTCATAATGTAAGAAAGATTATTTTGTTATAAAAATTTCCAAATCATAAAACTGAAGAAAGCAAGTATCATGGACTACATTTCAAATATAACAAAGATTTCTTTCTGAAATTATAATATTGTCTTTTCTAGTAATGCAAATTATAATTTCTCTTGAACTCTGGGGACAACAATTTATTTTCAATTGCAAATAAAGTATATTAATAGTACAAGGCAATTAGCAAACTAGTAAATAATATTTTACAATGTAACAATTCTGGTGAGTATTAATTTATGTTCCTAGAATTATAATGATGTAAAAAAGGTTTATTTTATAATGTGAATGTATGTTTGTTTAGTATGTATTTTTTTTCTCTTTCTGGCAATTCAAAAAGCTAACAGTCTTTCAAATTTAAAGAATATCTTAATTGAATAACTTTGCCCCTATATTGTATTCTGTGATGAAACTATCTGCGTATCAAAGTTTAAAAATAATTCCAACTATTTTATTAGTTTAGGGATAATTTTATAATCCCATATAAAGTATCTTTTCATAATAATGCCAAATCTAGCTAATAACTGAGTCACTTTGTTGCAATGTGTTGTAGAGTCAGACTGATAGCTAAGCCTCCAGTGAGTTTTCAGAGGCTATAAATCACACAATAGGAGATTGTCCATTTTTCTCCCAAGAAGCATCTAGTGGAGGCAAACTGCATACCTTTGGGTTGGCAACATGAATCCTTACCACTAGGCCACCAGAGGCATTGTCAAGAGGACTGAGCTAGATTATTTCGTTTATTAACAGGAAAAAAAATATTCCTCAGTTTTGAATCAAACAGGAATAAAGCTTACCTGATATGACTTTCTGTTATGCATTAAGTGTTGCTGTTATGCTGCTGAGTCAAGTACGACTCAGTGCAACTCTATGAACAGTAGGTCTGAAACTTGTCCTATCCTGCATCATCCTCACAATCTCTGACCCCGCTGAGTCTACTGCTGCAATCACTAATAATAAAAGCCTTATTTTTCTGGCAATGTCCTGCATCAAAACTGTCATTCCATTTAGTTCAAGTAAGCACTTTAATTGAAAATCTAATAAAGTAAATAGAAAAAAATTTAAAATCCTTTATAAGAAGGTTGTCATGCACTAAAATCCTTTCTCATATTATGTTTTTTATTTATAGATCAAAAATAGTTTTAACTCACCCATCATAGCAACCACCTGGACAATCTGTAAACTAGGGAAAGAGTTCTCCTCCCATCAGCATTCTTTATTACCTTAAGGGGTAAAAAGATTCATTCATTAGAAAAAAGAAAGAGAAGTAGCAAAAAAAAAGCCTAAAAGTCAAAGAAAAGAGGCTTTTTTTCTTTTTACTTTGAAGGTAATTTTTTTAGTATTTTCTTTTAGTATTTTTGTTTCATTATTATTTTTGTTTTATTATTATTATTCATTTCAATGAACATCTACAGAGATTTTGGAATTCCATTCATTCATTGTTGC